CTGCTTCCGAGGCCTGGAGCCTGGCGAGCCGGGAAGGAGCTGCTCCTGCCCGGCAGCCCCACAGCTGCGCCAGGCGCCAGAGGGCCGAGGCGGCCTCCGACGGCGAGGGAGGCTGGCCGGGCGGCACGGGGGAGGCTCCCACGCGGTGCGGAGGGCGGCCGGGGGCGGAGCGCGGCTGGGCAACCAGGAGGCGTGGAGACCGGCTCAGCGCTGCAGCTCAGCTCAGCAGACAGCGGTGGCAGCGGAGCAGCCCAGCGGCAGCGCCAGCAGCAGCCGAGACCCGGCTCGGCTCGGCTGCTGAGCCAGTCCAGGGCAGCGTCGGTGCGCACAATGGCGCTGCAGCGGCAAGAGCAGGCGCTGTCAGAGGAGAAGGGCGCCCTGGAGGAGGAGGAGGGTGGCAGCGGTGGCTGGATAGAGGAGCAATGTCTCCGTTTCTAAAAACCATTGGAAATATGTGTTTTCCGATGGTCTTAGGCGACCCCTGTGAAAGCATTGTTCGACCCCCAAAAGGGTCGCGGCCCACAGGTTGAGAACCGCTGCTGTAGGGTCAGAAAACAACAGTCTGGTGTTCGAAGGCAGCCTGTCCTTATACCAACTACTTGCAGGAGGTTGGAATTTATTCAGCATTCTTTACAGGCTTGAAATGAATGTAAGATATTATACACTGTTAGGAGTTTTGAATGTCATTTGTGAACTTGAACAGTTCTGTTCCTTTGTGCCCTAGACATAAAAATTAATGAGCCAGTTGCAGAGTGTTTGTTTGCTGATGAAGCACAATATAACTTATTAACTTTTTATCTAGCTCCCATAGCAGACAGTATTAAATAGAATTAAATCTTTTGGTCTTAGATTTTCTTGTATATTCCCTACCTGACACTATATCGCTTCTTTACCACCTCATTGTTGTTATTATTCCATTCTTCTTCCTTTCTCCTGTCAGTTTTTTAAATTATTTTTCTCTCATGGAGGCGATGGAGAGAAAATGGACTGAAGATGTTGAATTGTACAGTAATAATGTTGACTTTGTCCAGTACAATTGCTTATGCAGCTATTTGTCTATGCCAATCTCAGATAATATCTAGTAGAATGTTCATATAGAAAAATAATTGAAGTTCTGGTTAAAATAACAGATGAAAAGAACTCTAGAGTTAAAATGATTTGGAGACACACATGTACACAAAATTGTGCATAAATTACATCTGTAAACTACTCCAAGGACATTTGTTAGTTGGCTGATATATACATACAGCCAACACAATACATTTATAGTAACAAGAGGCCTCACAGAGACTTTAGAGTTTAACAAGTTGATGACATTGAGGGAAACAAAGCTGCTTATCAGCTGCAATAGACACATTCTCTTATCGAAGCTGGAGGATTTTATGACACTCTTAAGTTTGGGCTATTAATGTGCATACCGGATTATCAGGCATGAATTCCTTTATCTTCTCTTAATTTTGTTCTCTTCTCTAATACTTGCCACAAAACATTAATGCCTTTGCCCTCTATTCATTCATTCCTGCCCCATTTATCCTTCAAATCCCCTTTTCACAGTCTGGTTTCCTAAGTTTATTATTAAACCCCCATTACTTTTGAAGGAAAAAAAGGAAGGAAGGAAGTTTCTTCTTTGCTGTTTTCCATATATTTCCATATACTTTATTTACATAAGATGATACACTAAATGTTAAAGTGTATTATAGTTCTTTCACTCCGATAAACTAATAATACGGTTTTAATGAAGTACTACAGTACATGTTTATCAGAGGAAGTTCATGAGAAGGACTTCCTCTTCATGCAGCTGACTAAATTTGATACTGCCACCATCAGACACTTGGGCTATGATACTGAAAGTGTAGCATTCATCAGGTATATGAGGAGGACATAAATACTCCCTATGAAAAGAGAGGGAAAAAGTGGCTATGCTTTCAGAACATGACAATGCTGGCTATGTTCAGTATTGGCTTCCATGACATGGAGGTTGAATAGATACTTGACTGAGAAAAGTGTGTTGATTTGAAGCACTCAGATGGCTTCCAATGAAAGAAGTGGTATATGCGCAGGTGAAATTATTTGGGAGTAAGTAGAAATCTTAGGTGGATATCTAGGAGTCAATCTGTAATATAAAATTCCTTGTTGCTTAGAAAATAGCAATTTCAAAGGAAATGTAATTAAGAAAAACATTCTATTCTACATATCAAAATTAGTGGCAGCCAGCATGTAACCTTCCCCCCAATAAAATTCAATGTAAATCACCATGGCTGTCTTTCAATTTTGAGAAATTACCGGAGCATGGTTACTAAGAGACTGAGCCATAAATTGGGAAATTCATAGTTCAAATCTCCTTTCTGCAATGATCTCATATATCACTCCACCATCCCAGTCTTTCATGTGGGATAATACTGCTGACCTGACATAAGGTACAGGGTTGTAAGAACTTCCAACACAGTAAGATAGGGCAGCATTTTAACACTCTAATGCATGTTTTTACAATGCATATTGTTAGTATATTTTTCTCTATGTCTTGTCATTTTAATTCACACTTCAATGCAGTTCAAAGAAGGATTGGATACATTCATGTAGGAACTGAAAAACTCATCATTTCAGATGGTCAGAGAGTTGTAACCATAAATAAGTGGTGGCTGATTTAGATAGATACCCAAAGTCATCTACCATGATTAGGAAATTAAGTTACCATATGGTTGCTTCAATTTCACACTCTGAATATTGTTTCTAGTTTTGTTTAGTAACCACTTCCTTTGGGGTTTCTGCATAGATTCTGCATAGGTTTCTGAGTGTTGTGAGGCTTTGTGTAAAATCAAACTGAAGCAGTATTAAAACACACTAAACAAGAAATTCTCTGAATATAGTAGAAGTTCCTATTGATATAATTTTTTTCCAGAATGGAGCAGCTTAGATGGATATTCAGCCTGGGAATATGCTTCTAGGAATTCCTGTTAGGAACAGTCTTAAACATCTCTTTTTGGATTCCTTGCTTTCTACCAGGTATTAGAATCTCTAATTTCCAGAGGTAAAAGAAAGAATGTACTAACTGCTTTGACACAGGAAAATATCTTTCAATGTCTATGTTGATATATGCATCAGAAAATATTTGTTTGAGATTTATATGTATCTTAAAACTATTTGATTTTGAATTATAATTCCACAATTGTTTTTATATACACTGATAACCAAAGTGGGTATCTTCTGCTCTCCATATTAAATTTCCTTTTATTAATTTCTAGTTCTGTAACCAAACAAGCATCCCAGAATATGTTAATTAAAGTTTGATTAAGCATTTCCTTCACCGCCTTGTCCAAATAATTTATAAAAATATTGAATGGTGCTAAGCTCAGGATTGAACACTGGAGCATGCCATTCAGTATCTCCTTCCAATTTAATAAGCAATTGTTGATGAGCACTCTTGCATTATGTTATGGCCAAATGTGGATCCACCTAATAAATGTGTCCTCTATCTATATTTAATTAAGTTTAAGACTGTAAGACTGTGAAGTACCTCATCATTCTGAGACTTATAGAAGCAGCTACTTCATTGTCCTTCACAATCTTCAAACTGGATAGCTACATTGAACCAGTTCAGCCTGTCATCTTAAGCTTTTTTTCTGTGTCAACATGCTACCTTGAAGCAAATTGCTCCAGGAATTTATGAAGTTTCTGCAAAAAAAGTGCTATTTCTTATAGGTGTATTAATTTACTAAACTCATTTTATCAATACATAATACAAGTTGTAATTCTGCCCCAGATGGAAATGTTTCCCATTATTCTGCTTCTTTATCTTCTTCTCAGTTTCATCATGATGGTATCTTGGCTCAATCTATCTTCCATTTTTTCTGTAGTGAGGGTTGTTTTAAAAATAGCCTTTAATGTTGGAGGTGCATAATTTACTACTTTCTTCCCTCCTCTCACTTGTTCCTTTCTCTGCCCTGTGATTTTCATCTCTGATGGATGAAAGAAAATGCCTCCAAAACTTTGAATATTTAACATGGGGGGAGGGGAAAGCTGTTAACCATTGGGGAGCACCTTTATCTCCCACCTGATTTATGTTTTGCAAAAAAAAAAAAAAAAAGGCAAGAAAACCCACTGCACTTCTTCAAAATCTCTTAAGTCGATAATTTACAGATTATTTCTTCCTTCTACCCCTAGATTGCACTCTGGAATGTTTTGTTCAGAAGACTGCTGTGTGCATAATATTCTTTGATTAATGCCAGGAGACAACCCTGGCTGTTTTCATCCACCTAAATTATGACTAGGAGGATAAGTGAGCCAGCAGCCTTCTGCAAATGGGATCCGAGATGGTTGACTGGAGAAGGAGACAAAATTGTATCCAAAGAATGATGAGGATGCTAATGTAGGAGATGAAATGGAACAGCTCTCTGTGGGGCTGGGCCACCAAACAAAATGTCCAAGAACAGGAATCCTGAGGGAGTAATGTTAAGAGTTTATTCCAAATTAGTGTTTTTTTTTAAAAAACTGTATATTATTTCAGTTAATTGGGGTTATTGTGAATGGGCTTGAATGACTAAATCTTGGCTTAAACAATGCTTTGACTATTCAGTTGTTGGTGAGGTATCAGAATAAAAAGAGTCTTTTTGGCACACTGGTTTACTCTGGTTGCAGACGGAAACCATTCAAAGCCCCAAAGCCTAACAACCATTCCATGCAAACACATATCCCATCACCATAAATCCCTGTGCTAGTCCTGAGCAATGGACTGCAGTCAATTTACTTCAGCCTCCTAGCCCTCTGTGAAAAGGTTAATGTAAAACCTGTAGAACAGCTTCTTTCCCCCTGGCGCTGCTGGAATCCATGAGATTAGACACAGTTGGAATTCTTGTGGCTCCAGAAGGGGGGGGGGGGAGAGACTACATGATTCAGTGCTGATGGAATCACCCTTGATCCGTCTGTCTGGGATATAATCCTCGCTTCGGTAATTAAAATAATAATAATAATCAGTATTACAAGGAAAATGGTGTACAGTAAAATGTAATCAATTCTGTAGAAGCTTAACCATCTGTTAAAGGTTAAATCCTCAAAGAGTATAATGTCAGGGTATGGCGAATTTGTCCTTTGATGCATTGGGCTCTCTAATCTAGCCTAATGTTGAGACTGAAGTAAACATGTAGAAGGGGAGGAATTCCCACAGTCCCCAAGCAAAATGAATGTTGTCTTCAGTCTGGGTAAAAGTTATATCCTTAGGGTTTCTCATAGATCCTTATGATGTTTGAATTCCCCTGAAACCTTCACCAAACCACAATTTCTATGTACTTGTAAAGAATAAGCCATTGCAATTGAAGGATTATTGCTGCTACTATGGTTCATATGCATGGCCTTGAAGCATAAATCCTCATGGATCTTATAGTTTTTAAATGAGACCTCCTTGAAACCAACTTCAAATCACAAATTGCATTTCTCTACATTGAATCTAACATGACTATTATGCATCTGATAATTGGTAGTGCTGCTGTAGCTCCCAAACCTGGCTCTGAGTGTTCAAGAGTTTACTTAATATTTACTTGAAGCCATCATTAAAACATTCATCTACACAAATGAACCACTACAGTGATGTATCTTGTTATTTCTGACTATTATCATAGTGCAAAAGTTCCAAGGCATGAGAAAGAGGGAGTTTTGTGTGTTCAGACATGGCTGACTTTTCAAACAAAACATCCACAAGACTTTGTGCAGTATAGATACTAAAAGCAGAGGAAACAAAATTGATTCTTTGAGGGACCAGTTCCAATGATAATGCTTTGTGAATTAAAACAACATCCCTCAGTAAGGGTCTGAAACTTATCCTTCAAATAGGTCTGGAGCCATTCCATTATACAACTCATATCCTAATACAGAGAAATGGTTTGCAGAGGATATGGTGTTGGAAGATAGAATAGACATTGGGAGATTAAGGAAAATCATGGTTGAATCATTATGGAAACAGGTTCCAACTATGATTTGATTGCACTTTCTTGAATCCCTGTAGTCATTATAACTATAATTGTTTTTTTTTTCAGATGGGCCCCAATAAAATCATGAGAATCCATGAACATAGAGGCCCCTGGTCTTTCTATTTATTTAATTTGTTTGTTGCCTGACTTCCAAAGACTAGGCAACTTCAAAGTAAAAATACTGAGGAAGAAAACTTACATAATTGTGATGGGGATCCTCATCCTAACCAAAGTCCTGGAAGAAAAGCCAATTATTCAAGCTCCTTCAAAACACCAGCAGAGGGGTCATCTGGCTCTTCAGGGAACCTCATTCCAGAAGATAGGTGCTGCTACAGAGAAGACATGCTTCCAAGGACCCAACAATAGCATTGTTTAAACAAAGAAACCTATCGGTAGAGTGCACCAATCCTTCTAGATTGAATCAGTTATGCAGATACTATGAGAAAGGTTAATGTTTTATGGTATGAATAGTGCCACAAATAATTGGATATATAATTATGATGATTCAATCTGTGCATATCTATTCTTTGTCAGTAATTTCAGCAAGGTCAGAGATAAAAACCACGAGGAATTTTGATAATCCACATTTAGATTCTTACTTTTCCTTTATTATGGCTCCAGTGAATATAATAGTATTCTACATGAAAGATTAGCAATTTTTCAGGTGGACCCCATGTAAGAATCATAAACAACTATGTGGGGATCCAAGCTGGTTTCTCCTTGTCAGCATCAAGAAATACATCCACTGCCTATTTTTTCCACTGGAAAGTTGGGTCTTTGTGGTATAAGAATAAAAACAGTCTCCCTATGACTATATTCACAGGACATGCTTAATCAGATCACGTAAAGGTTAAGCAGATGCATTCACACATTACTTTGATCTTTGGATCTTGCTGCTTTGCACGAACACTTGTGAATCCAACAGGCTTAATTTGATTCCTGAATGCGTACAATACAATCTTTCACCCTCATTCTCACTCTCCTTACCAAAACTGGGTTAAGCCTGTTGCACGAAGATGTCGTTCTCTCCCTCCCCATCCCACCACCCCAGTCTTGCTCTCCTTACTTCTTCGCCATATCTTCCTCTGCCTACCGAGGGGTTAATCATTCTGCCACTCGTCGTCGCAGCCGTTGGGGCTCTGGCTCGACGACGCTGTCCACCAATGCGGTGCTGAAATAGTAAGCGGGTCCTCCTTTGCTGGCTCGCTCTGCCAACCGAAAGTAGTTGGAAGTCTAAGTCAATCGATGATGAAGACGCGCAAGGGAAGGAGCGGAGGCTGCAGCTGAGGCGGAGCCAGAGCCAGTGCTCTGTCGCGTCCCTTCTGAGCCCGCCGATGTCTCTTCTCGATCGAGGCAGCGGGACTTCCCGCTGGGACTGGGAATATTGTACGGGGAAACACGAGCTCTCCCAGAGCTTGTCGAGCTGCGCTCCGAGTTGGAGAAGACTCGAGGTGTTGCTCCTGCTAAGTTCTTGCTTGGCTTTGGCTCCGGCTCCGGCTCCGGCTCCAGCAGCTGGCCAACTACGCTACTCGGTACCCGAAGAACTGGACCACGGAGCCTTTGTGGCCAACATCGCGGAAGACCTAGGTCTGGATGTATCCGAATTATCAGCCAGGCGGTTTCGTATCGCGTCCCGGGCGGGGAGTAAGCAGCACCTGGAGGTGAATCTGGAAAATGGGATCCTCTTTGTTAACGAGAAAATAGATCGGGAAGAGGTGTGCGAGGGCAGCAAGGCCTGCCTCCTGCACCTGCAGCTGGTCATCGAGAGCCCTCTTGAGCTCTATCGCATCGAAGTGGAGGTGCTAGACATCAACGACAATGCACCCCGGTTCCCTTGGCAAGAATATGTGCTGGAAGTGACAGAATCAGCACTACCTGGGGCCCGCTTTCCCCTGGAGAGTGCACAGGATCCCGACGTGGGCACAAACTCCCTGCGTACTTACAGACTCAGCCCTAATGGTTATTTCTCGCTGGAGGTGCAGACTCGCAGTGACGGCAGCAAGTTTGCAGAGCTGGTGCTGGAGAGGAGTCTGGACCGAGAGCAACAGCGTAGCCACCGGGTCCTGCTCACGGCTTTGGATGGTGGTATCCCCGAGCGCTCGGGCACAGCTAGAGTTGTGATCATGGTGTTGGATGCCAACGACAATGTGCCAGTCTTTGATCAGTCCACTTACAGTGTAAGCCTGCCGGAGGATGCACCCAAGGGGACTCTGGCTATCAAGCTCAACGCTACTGACTTGGATGAGGGAACCAATGGCGAAATTGAGTATTCATTCAGTGGGCACGCTCCACTAGGTGTGCGTGAGCTTTTCAGCGTGGAGACCCACACTGGGCAGGTGCGCCTGAAGGGCAAATTGGACTATGAGCGAGCTGACCTCCATGAACTATATGTGCAGGCCAAGGACCGGGGCCCCTCAGCAGTTGCTATTCACTGCCGGGTGTTGGTGCACCTCCTGGACGTCAATGATAACGCACCGGAGGTGACCCTCACCTCCGTCTCCACACCAGTTTTGGAGGACGCACCTCCCGGTACTGTCATAGCTGTAATCAGCGTGCTGGATAGAGATTCCGGAGACAACGGCAAGGTGAGCTGCGAAATCCCGACTGATATACCCTTTCAGCTTCAGTCGTCTTTCCACAACTATTATGCACTAGTAACTACTGCACCACTCGACCGTGAGATTGTGCCCGAATATAATGTCAGCATCACCGCCCACGATCTGGGGTCTCCAGCGCTGGCTACCAAGAAGATCCTGAGAGTCCAGGTGTCCGATATCAACGACAACGCGCCCCGCTTCCTGCAACCCTCTTACAGCGTCTACGTGACCGAGAACAACGCTCCTGGGGCGTCGATCTGCTCCGTCAGTGCGCTGGACCCGGACTGCCAGCAGAACGCTTACTTGTCCTACTCCATCGCGGACGGCCAGATCCAGGGCATGCCCGTGGCCACCTACGTCTCCATCAACTCGGACAGCGGTCACATGTATGCTCTGCGCTCCCTGGACTACGAGCAGATTCGCAACTTCCAGATCCAAGTCGTGGCTCAGGACGCCGGCTTCCCGCCTCTTAGCGGGAACGCCACGGTCCACGTCTTCGTGTTGGATCAAAACGACAACGCCCCCTTGGTCGTGGCTCCCATGCCCCGCAATGGTTCCGTGGCTGTGGAGGTGGTGCCTCGCTCAGCGGAGCCCGGCTACTTGGTGGGTAAAGTCTCTGCAGTGGACGCCGATGCAGGACAGAACTCGCGGCTTTCCTACCGGATGGTCCAGGCCACCGACGCCAGCCTCTTCAGCGTGGCCCTCTACACGGGCGAAATCCGCACCGTCCGCGCCTTCCTGGCCAAAGACGCCCCAAAGCATCGTCTTCTCGTCCAGGTGCGGGACAACGGACAGCCCCCGCTCTCGGCCTCTGTGGCCCTGGTGCTCTCGGTGGTGGACAGCGTGCCAGAGGTGCTCTCGGACTTCCGCGAGCTTCCTCCGGGAGGCGAGACGGCTTCGTCCAGGCTTACTCTCTATCTGATCGCCTCCCTGGGCTCCGTCTCCTTCACCTTCCTGGTGGCCATCGTTATCCTCACGGTGGTCAAGTGCCCCAAAGAGCGGCTGACCTTCCCCGACTATGCCTGCTCGCAGCTGTCTTGTGGCGGGGAGGCCTTCTGCTGCTGCGGCGGCGGCGGTTGCGGCTCCTGCGAGCGCTCGGCCCCCGCCTCGGACCGCTTCAAGAAGCCCGGCAGCGTCAAGGCCCCGGTCTCCTCGGGCGACTGCGGGGACGTCGGTGCCAGCGCAGGCCCTCCGGCCTATTGCTATAAGGTCTGCCTGAGCCCCGAATCGGCCAAGAGCGACTTCATGTTCCTGAAAGCTTGCAGTCCCGCCCCTCTGAGGAACAACGAAGCGGGCCCTCAGAACTTGCCGCCGGGTCCCGGCCCGAAAACCCGAGGGGCCAATAACTCTCAGCAGCCCGCCGACCAGGTAGCTTCCTGGGCGCCCCGATGGGGTGGGGGAGCGGGAGGTAGCCTGCTAGGAAGGCAAACAGTGCCCGGAACCTGGAAAACAGTAAAGCAGGGGTAGGCAACCTTGGCTCTTTTATGACTCGTGGACTTCAACTCCCAGAATTCCTGAGCCAGCTTCGCTGGCTCAGGAATTCTGGGAGTTGAAGTCCACGAGTCATAAAAGAGCCAAGGTTGACTACCCCTGCAGTAAAGCGACTTTTGAGAGGGGAAGACGCTTTCAGTCTCGCCCAACTTTTTGAAAGATTTGCAGCCCGGCCCTTTCCCCGAAAGAGCCACCGGGCTTCGCCAAAACTCTGGCTCATGACGTAGTTATTTGCCGAAACTTAGATAGATGAGATGTGGGCCAAGAGTTAGGAAAGGCCCCTGGAGCGCCGCTTCGGTCGATCTCGCTCCGAAACTGGGGCCTTTCCCTTCCCAGGCCGCCGCTCGTTGCCTCTCTTTCACCCGGGCGCGGTGGGACTCGGCGGTTCGTAAGATCGGGGCCTAGGTCTCCGCGGGAGGGCGGCGGTAGTGGGGCACTTCATTCCTTTCAACTGGGAGAAGGAAGCCCAGCGGACTCGGTTGAGCTAAAGCCTCAGGCTCCGCCACTTTTGCTGAGAGTCAATTGCCCGGCTTCCATTTGCAGTGGGATCCTGCATGTCAATGGCAGAGTTGAGAAGGACCGAGCGGAGCCTTTCCTTCGCTGCTAACTGAAGGATCTGGTCGGAACCGAGTCCCCTCAGCAAAGGTCTCTGGACAAGCCGAGGACCGTTGCTGAGAGGAGAGTCCTGCTGAGCTCAGGAGACTTTCCCAGATCCTGGAGTCCTTCCATGTGCCCCTCCTCGTTTCCAGAGGACGGGCACCTGTTCTTTCCACTTAGGTGGCTCAGCTTGACTGGTGCTTTGTCTGTATATCCCATCCATTGTTGGGTCCGCATCCCTATCCTGTTTCTGGCCTCACGTGAGATTAATGCCACATTGCTTTGTGCCAAAAAAAGGGAGAGGATGCTTTGTGAAAGCAACAAACTCCTGGCCTTGCCAAAGAGCTGAATAAGATGAAAAGGGGGTCTAGATTGCTGGGGGTGAGGAGGAAAAATCACCACCATTTGCTAAATCTATATTTCAGTGAAGCGCTGTCTTTGATAATAAAGCTGGATGGCTGAAGGTGCAAAGCAGCACATGGATAAAAAACTTGCATGCGGTTTCGCAGCTCTTTGAAAAATGCCCTCACCATTCTCTAGACAGGGTTTCTTTGTCCATTTTCATTTTCCTTGTTGGATATCCTTGTCTAATATGGTAATGTTCTTGTCAGCTCAAAACTCCCTCTAGTGACTTGATGTCTTGAGCTGATTTCCACCCCTCTTGCCTCAGGCTGATAGAGCAGACAGCGGCAAGGCCACATAATCTCCCTTAGCCAAGGGAGTTGAGGCAGTGAGAGAAAGGAGGGAGAGACTGGCATTCCTGGGGGGGAGGGGGGAGGGAGGGAGGGAGAGAGAGAGGGAAAAAAAATGAAACAGGTTAAGTTGTACATCTAGGGCACTGAGGCTTGGAGGCATTTATTCCTCTTAAGGCTAACTTCTTAAGAAGGAGGAAGGTGGATCTTTGCACACAATGAGATTTTGAATGAAAACAACCTCCAGCTTCTTTCTCATGTTTTCTTCTGTTCTTGTTTTTCTGAAAGAATGGTACACTTCCCTGTTAGCTCTTAGAAAACCTCAGAGTATAAAGCACCTTGAAATGACTGATGTGGGGCTACCCTTTACCCTTTCATTTGTACAGGGAGAATTTGGTAGCTTTAAATTGCCCTTTGCTTTACTGCTGGGATCTTCTGGGCCACAAGGGAATAAGGGAGCTCTCTGTAAGTCCATAGGGGAAAAAAAAAAAAAGGAAAATGAAAATCAATGCAAACTGAACCTGGACAAGAGCTGCAAAATAAGCATGGAAAACATTTGGAATGGAAATAGAATGTAAGATGAATTACATAAGTCTTCTATATTTTGTAAAAGGTTAATTGGTGGATCTTGTGATAGAAAGGCAGAAGTGACAGTGTTCCCACAGATCTTCCCCCAATAGAAAGACGAGCTTTGGAAAAGAATGGAACGAGCCCCCTGCCTGTTCCAGAAATGGTCTGGAATAGTATAAAGGCTTTTTGGAATAAGACAGGTACAGCACTGGAATAAGAGTTCCAGGCAATTGAAGGGCTGATGAAGAATTATAAAGTCACCTCTGAAAATACAAGGACAGGCATTATGGGCTGAGTTGTGGCTGGCATGACCAAGTCAGAAAATTATTGAGGTTATCTATCCATGCTGATTCTTCAAACACCTGATAAGGTACTTAAGATTATTAAGTTATTTTATTTTTTGTTGCACAATAAATGTGATTGGGTAGTGGAGTAAACATTATCCATTATCTCTGCAGAGAAAAGTAAGCAAACATTCAAAATCCAATGACTTCAGTGTACCATGTTTCCCTGAAAATAAGACCCACCCAGAAAATAAGTCTAACCTGATTTTTTAGCATGCTTCTAATATAAGCCCTACCCTAAAAATAAGCCTGGGGGTAGGTGCGTGTGGCCAGTACAGAAATTGCTGAGGACAACGGTGTCCAACCACAGCCCACACAGTGCAGGTAAGTCCAAGCACAGAGGCAGGGCAGGCAATCCAGATGCACTGTGCGGCCGCCTGGCTCACGGGACGCTCGTGGGAGGCTCGTGTGGCACCACTAGTAGCAGGCAGAGGAAGAGGCACAGGAGAGGCAGGCAATCCAGATGCACTCCGCAGCTGCCTCACGTGGCAACATTGGCAGCAGATGGAGGCAGAAGTATGGGGGGACACATGAGATCCCAATGTGTCACCCTCTCCCTCCCATCATCTCTCAGCTTGCCCGCAGCTTGCCCGCAGCCACAGATAGGGCAGGCAGCTGTGCGGCGCATTGGGATTCCCTGCCTCTCTCCATGCCTCTGGCTCTGCCTGCTGCTGGTGCCGCCACATGAGCCTCCCATGAGCCTCCTGTGAGCCAGGCGGCCACACAGTGCATCTGGATCATCCGCCTCCCCCCAGCCTCTGCCTCTGCATTCGGACTTACCTGCACTGTTCCAAGGGGGTGGCAGGCTGCGGCTACTGCAGGACACCATCGGCCCCCATGCACTCACTGACTCTTGTGTGCATGTTTGGGGGTGGGGCTCCCGGCCAGACTGATCACCCTGATACCATGTTTTCCCCAAAATAAACCCTAAAGCGTCTTTTGGAGGGGAAAAAAAAAGACCGAGTCTTATTTTCGGGGAAACACGGTAGTTCAGTATTCTTTGTAACCAGTTTGCAAATCTTTTAACCATTTTCTGTGATGGCAATTAGACAGACATGTCAAACAATATTCAGCTATTTGTAATAATCACCTTAACTCTCAGTCACAACTTGGAGAAAATACTGCCTCGCTCAATAGCAATAGCAATAGCAATAATAGCAATAGCACTACTTATATACCGCTTCATAGTGCTTCACAGCCCGCTCTAAGTGATTTACAGAGTCAACCTATTGCCCCCAACAATCTGTGTCCTCATTTTACCCACCTTGGAAGGATGGAAGACTGATTTAACCTTGAGCCGGTGAGAATTGAACTGTAATTGAATGTACAGTGAAAGAAAAAAGTATTTGATCCCCTGTTGATTTTGTATGTTTGCCCACTGACAAAGAAATGATCAGTCTATAATTTTAATGGTAGGTTTATTTTAACAGTGAGAGACAGTATAACAACAAAACATCCAGAAAAATGCATTTCAAAAAAAGTTATGGCCAGGTTAAATCAGGGATAACAGTTCTGCTTTCCATTTTACACTAGGTGGCTGATCAGCTGGATGGAGGAAAGATGGGTCTTTGGGAACACTAATGGCTAGATGAAACTCATGGGCCCCTTTTCTCTAGATAGGGTTGTTGTTATTTATATCTAGAACAGTGTTTCTCAACCTTGACAATTTTAAGGCATGTGGACTTCAACTCCCAGAATTCCACAGCCAGCATTGCTGGCTGTGGAATTCTGGGAGTTGAAGTCCACATGCCTTAAAATTGTCAAGGTTGAGAAACACTGATCTAGAACATTAAGTATATTTAATATTTTCACATTGTTGTTTTTCCTGATTTTCTTCACAAGACATCTTTGAGAGAAGCAAGTTAAGACTTCCCCTTTCTTAAGAATTTCAAGGAAACTTTAAAAGCCCCCTACTTTTAAAATTTTTTGCTGCTAAGATAGTTTGACATTGCAAGTTACATAATAGTTACACATTTGATATCCCCCCCCCCCAACTGCCTTCAGTCTTGACTCCTAGTCACTGATGAGGATAGGTGCACTCAGTTTTCTTGGCAATATTTTTAAAAGTAGTTTGTCCTTCCTTATTCCTAGGGTTGAGCAAGTGACTGGTCCAAAATCAGGAGCTTGTAGCACCTTTTTGAACAAATAAAATACATTCAATTTTCATGAGTTCATGAAAGGAGTTCAGGACTAACACGGCTCTAACCCAAAGTGACTTAGTGGGCTTCCATGCTTAAGGAAAGATTAGAACAGTGTTTCTCAACCTTGACAATTTTAAGGCATGTGGACTTCAACTCCCAGAATTCTACAGCCAGCAATGCTGGCTGTGGAATTCTGGGAGTTGAAGTCCACATGCCTTAAAATTGTCAAGGTTGAGAAACACTGGATTAGAACTCCTGTTTCCCCATTCCTCACCCTGCATCTTATTCATCAAACCAAGCTGGCTCTTAATATAATTAATTATATTAATTATTAATTACACTCAGAGGATTGTGGGGTTGTCCTTCTGAAACCAGTGCTCTTATTCCATTCCCAGCTATATCCTTTCTTTCTTACTTCTTCATTACAGCATACAGAGATTTCACCCAGGACTCCACAATTTCCGCCTCTTCCCTGCCTGCCTTGTTCACTCAAGAATCGGTCGTTTAACATTTGAAATAGAGCAGAAGAAACACTAGCATCCATCTCATCTCATGTTTATTTTTATTTTTTTCCCTCCGTCCCATTTCCCTTCAGAACCCTTCCCAAGCTTTATTGCATGCTTCCTGTGGGCCTCTGGAGAGCGCTCCTTGTTTCCATGGCGCACACTTTTCCTGCCTGCCTGCCTGCCTCCTGTCAGATACCTGGAAACCAGAGCAAGAGCAGCCAGCCGGCTAGGGAGCCGATCCCCGGCGGCCACCACCCCCTCGGCCGAAAGAAGGCGAGAACTAGCTGCCTCCACAAGAGAAAGGCACCCCTTTAACCCCCTTTCAGGCGACGAAAGTGGCCCTTGCAAGAACCGCTCCCCCGCCGCCCCCCAAATCCCTGTCGAGGAAGAGCTTTAGCGCCTCTTGGCACAGGCCTCTCCCTCGACAAGCTGGCTCTCTGTCGGGCGCCGAGCGAACGAGCGAGTTCCGCCCCCACCTTCCCGCTCCCTGCGATAACGAGGCCAATTAAGGCGAAAGCGTAAAACTAGGGCAATGATTTCGGGCTTTGAAACGCAGTCAAAGCAAGCGATGCCTCTTTCGGCGAGCCTGAGTGATGCCACTACGTTTCAACCATCTCCGTGAAACACGAGGGCGCCTCTTTGCAAAGAGCGCCCCCTTTCTCCCATCAGGATGTTATTCCCCCTCAAATTAAAGAGGGCTGGACGATTCTTTGAACCCCGTATTCTTGCATAGGGATCAGGCATCTGTCAAAGCAGCTGTTCGATTTACTCCATTTTTTTTTTGTCTTCTAACAACTGCAGTTCACAAACGTTTTTGCTACAATAAATATGTTAGCCTTTGAAAGTATCAGAAGCAGCTTTTCCTGGGCTGCTTTCTTCATGCCTGTTCAGCGTCTGAAGAGAACTGGATATAGTACATACAGTATGTGAATGAATCACGTCACAAGTTCAGTAAGATATCAGTATCAGCTTAGATATTGGCACTTTTCAGAGAAAATAGCTCACGCCTTCTGATAAAAGAGCTAATGTGCAGATTCAGGAAGTCTAAAAGTAACAATGATACCTCTTTGGAAAGCTTTCCAATTACAGTATTGTACTTCACATTTTTTCATTACTGAAAGAAATGTAATAGATTAGAAAGAAGAGAAAAAAACAGAATGCAGGAAGATGCATTCTGCAGATGCAGTATATGCAGCCCATATAGCAGTGCAATTCCTTTCTGGCAACACCCTCCCCCCCCCCCCCGCCGCCGCCTGCTTTTGATACTTTCAAAGGCTAACACATTTATTGTAGCAAAAACGTTTGTGAACTGCAGTTGACTTTGCTGGATCTATAATGGAAAATCAGAATATTGACTCATAAACTACTTGATATGTGTTGGCTAAATATTAATGCTCAGAGTCTGGAAAATGAACACAATGATCTTAATTCTTACTATAGGAAGACAAATATATTTCTGCAGTTATACTGAGGTCTGATTCCTGAGTCCAGACAATAGGATCTGAAGAATAATAACCTAGTTCAAAATAATAGAAACAGGAGAAATAGAGACAAATATCAAAACTACCCCCACTTGCTTCAAAAGGTAACTTAATGAATTCCGTGATACTGTAGAAATTATCTAGATTAAAATAAGGGGAGGGCTGACCAAAACAATTGTTCTTGGTATCTACTATTGCTGGTCCAACCAAGGAGAAAGTGTGTGGAATACTTGCCAAGTGAGATATAACTAGTAAAAACAGAGGACTTTTATTATCCTTATTTCAGTGGGGGGGGGGAATGTCAAGAGTGGCCCTTTCAGAAAATTTCTGAATTATGCAGCTTTTTTGTTCAGCTACTAGAGTTAAAAGGGGGGACATCTGGACTACAACAGGGAGTTTTCCCACCTTCTCCATTAAAAAGTGAATATTTTTACTATTTGATTACATTTTTTGTGCTTTAATATTATTTTTATTCGCTGAAATGCATGGAAAGTATAAAGGAATACTTTTAATGAAAAAGTAAATTCATAAATAAGTTGCCAATATGTTTTATATTGATGAGAGCAATTGGTATAGTGCAGTGTTTCCCAAACTTGACAATTTGCTGGCTGTGGAATTCTGGGAGTTGAAGTCCTCATGCCTTAAAATTGTCAAGTTTGGGAAACACTGGTATAGTGGTTAATGAACCAGGCTAGACACTGGGGAACCAGGAGTTCTAGTCCTGCCTAACGCATGAAGATAGCTGCATGACCTGGGGCCAGTCATTTTTTCCTCATCCCTAGAAAGGAGGCAATGGCAAATCATGCCTGAAAAACCTTGCCAAGAAAACTGCAAGGACTAGTCCAGGAAGTCTCCAGGAATCAATACTGACTCAAAGGTGTACAAAAATTGTATTTTACATAAAAAACTAGGAACAATATGAAAATAATAAAGGATATAAATAGAAAGTGGAAAGGGGGACACATAATAAAGAAAAGAAGGCATAGTTAGCCTGATTTGTAGAGAAGTAGGATAACAGAAACTCAGTATGGACTAAGGTTCAGAAAGGATGCTAAGAAGAATTTTCCAGAATCCTAGGAAAATAAAAAGTGTTCTGTACAAGTAATAAAAAGCTAAAAGATAACAGCAAAGGTAGAATGAATTGTATATTCCATTATTTACAATAAAGCCCAGGACAGAAAATTAATAATTAACAATACATTATATAGCTGAATATTGGTTTTTATGGAAGCTTCATGCCTGACTATTTAAAATCTAGAAAGCCTTGCAGTCACCATAGACTATTTTCAAAAACTTATTTGAGAGGATGTCTATGAAAAAATTCATGTTAAGTTAATCCTTCTAGAAGTGTAAAATGTGGTATGGATTTTCCTTGAGGACTAGCTTTCAAACAGAGATGACAGGCCATCTAACTGTGATAATGAGGCACAAAGCCCCAGAATTCCCATCTGATAGAAACCTGCTTTATGTCACTGTTGCATAGTAACTGACAATTCAAGGACAGTTCATGTCCTGACATTTCAGGAAAAGTTCTCTAATTTTCCTTTTAGCTTCTTCCTCATGCCATTCACCATCCTAGTCAATAATTTTCTTCAATTCTGACATTTGAGGGAAAATGACTGGATAAGAAGGATGAATGGGCGGAGGAGGAAGCAAGAAGAAAAATTGGGGAACCTGTCTTGAAATACTTCTAGCTGTTTGTGAAAACAGAAAAAAATGTTCATATTTGCTAGAGGTTCTTCACCTAACTTGTTCAATCTTATGCAGTAGTCCAGATGAAACATTATTTGATTTCTCCAAAAACTGCAGCCAGTTTATTCAAAATTTCAGGGAAATTACTTAGCTCTGATATCTTTTCAATCTTCTCTCCAAGTCTGTCTTCTTCAAAATCTATGCTTGCAGCTTCTTCAGAAAGCTCAACTTCCTAATATCGGATTCCATATGGCTTCTACCATTTAGAATAAGTACCGGGTAGTTGCATTTCAAAAGCAGTGTCCTCTAATACTGCCAACAATTCCTGTTGGTACCATTATTCTGTTGATCAAGCTCCCAATTTTGCAAACAAAATTCAACAGTTAATGCTGTAAGCAATTCCTGAAATATTGTCTAGACCAGATATGTCAAACTCGTGATGTCATGTGACGTTGTGTGACATATCGGAACTTTTTCCCCATTGCCGGCAATGGAGTGGGCGCGGTTTCGTCATGATACATCCGGCCTGCGGGCCAGCAGTTTGACACCCCATAATTACCTTCTCCATGAGGAAACTCTTGTATTTTTGGGAAAAGATGAGTTAAGGTACTTGAACATTAAATTTAGAAAAATGTTGATAGTAATTACATATGTGAACATGTGTGTGTGTGTGTGTGTTATGTAATTATATATCTAACTCTTGATTTTGTATTATGTGTAGAAAGAAAAGAATTTGAGCTTGAACCAACTTTTGTCCCTGTCTAAATCTAAATCTGGCCCAGGATGAAAATAAAACAGAAATTAAGCAAAATTCTTATTGCCTTTCTTTTATGTATATAAATATTTTTATTTATTTTGTTGCTTTCATATTAACATGTCCTCAGACTCTAGGTGGAATACACAGAGGCTCCTCCAATTTAATTAACAACATTGTAAGTGAATGTCCTCCTGTAGGCCATCGGTAGTGGATGATCCACCATCATGTGAGTTTTAGAGACCCATAGCCTACCTATTATGCTGTACTGATACTCTTTCAATGATTAATGAAAGAAAAAAAATTAGCCATGAAACACTTGTCTTTGAATGGAGGTTTTCAGGAATTAAGCCACGTTGTGATGAGCCTGGCCAGGCTGGCTAGACTTGATAAGAAATGGGAATTCAATACCATTTGGAATATTGTCCCTGCAGCTTTCCAGGACAGGTGACAGAGAAACCCCTCCAGAATCCTGAGAATTTGGTACTGGCTGCTTTGAGAAATTTGGTTTGAAATTTCTTGCCAGGGAGGGGAGATTTGTAGCAAGTCCTAGCTTTTGGTAAGCATTGTATTTATCCTGTTTCAGTCAAGTAATTCCATATCAACTGAAGCATCCTATGGGAGAACTTGAAAACCCCTTCTTGTCTCTTAATATTTCTTGTTTGTTATAGGCCATTATTAGTTGTTATAAAAGCAAAGCTCAAAAAGGTTACCAGAACAAATGCATGTGGTCAAGCTGTCCTGAGGATGTGTATTTAATTCAAAACTTTTTTTTTTTTTTTAAATTTGTAGGTAAAACAGGCGAATGCAGACTGGCTGCCAGCAAAACAACCAATACTGAAGAGGTATTATAGGATTGCCTTATTATCTTTAGGAAAATTGTTGCTAAATATTTTATGAGTGCTTATCTTATGGCTGGATCTTTTTTATTTCTTATGTTGTAGTTCACAGAGCCTAGAAGATGTAGGAAAAGTTTGGAAAGGAGTTCAGAAAGACCATGATAGATTGTGCACTTTGGTCACTCCAATGTCTGGTGAGTTTTGGACTACAGAACCCTAAAATTCAATGGTTTCTGTAATTTTTGAGATAATGAAAACCTCCCTCTGATGTTCACCTCCTGTCTTACTTTGGCATGTTTGGCTTTCTGGTTTTTGGCTATTATTTCTCAGCCAGACCTGCCTATCAGGGTTGTAAGAATAAGGATAAAACTGACGATGAGAAGCAAGCAAACAAATGTATAGCTGATATGAAATAAATAAGGTCTCCTTCTAGTTAAGCTGAGTTTCAGTGACAAGTCTATGTAGTTTCCTTGACAACAGCACAAAAGGGTTTTGCCATGATTTCTTCTGGGATGGTTTTTCTTTTTTAAAAAAATGTGTTTTATTGATGTTTATTATAACATAAAATATAATGAAAATAAAGATTAAGGAAAAGGAGGGGAATGCAGGATTTTTTTTTAAAAAAAAGGAAAAGAAAAAATCGCATAAAAACTCATAGTTACAATCTCAACTGTTTACATTACTTACAATTATTACAAGCCAATTTTACAACTGCACAATTATTAAATCTACAGACTAAATTCTAAATTTCATTTCTTTCTATTTCATAGAAACCAGAAGCAATACCCCAGTATAAACTTTTTAAACTTCCTTTTAACATACATACTTTCATATTTAATAATATTTTGCAATCTTTAGGAATTATTGAAGGATTATATATATAAAAAAAACAGGAAAAGAAAAATCCATTTTCAAACCATTTTATAAGCCCCCAAAATGCGTTGGAACTTTCTTTTAATTACATATGTCAAACCAATAAAAAAAATCTATCCTAACTCCCTCCAGCTTCTTTTCCCCAAAACTCTCAATCTAGTTTCTAGCCCTGATATCTTTCCTGGCAGTTTGCCACTCAATTATTCAGGGTCACAAAGGGAGTGCCAATTGTATGTGTTTCTCTGTGTGCGTTTGTCTATGTGCATCTGGGTGTCCATGTCTGTGTCCGTATTCATATTCATATTTCATTCATTCCAGGACTGGGTTTCAATTTCAGAGGAACCCCAAATCTGAGGCAAATTGAGGCATTATAGGAAAGATTTTTACTCACTCCAAGTAGGCAATTTGCACTAACTGCTTTTCACAGTTCAAAATCTCTGCAAACCCTATTATTTCATTGTCATATTTCTTTCACTTTTTTGTTAAAGCACTTTTTATTTCTTTTATTTCTTTTTGACAATGTATATGTTTCCATTACTATTATTTTTGTGTTTT